GGTGACAAGACGATTCATACTTGCTGCAATTACACTCAAGTATTAAATTAGGCAAATGTTTGGAATTATAAACAGGCTACCTTTTCTTATGGAAAGCATGGAGGTGGGCAGAGGATACACAAGTAAGAAGGCATCATGTATTCTTTACCATTATCTTCCAGGGAAAATGCCTATTAATTGTTAGTATTGGGAAAGGAGGTATTATTTTCTTAAATATTTTCTTTTTGAATTAGCTAAACTTAATTATTCCAAATTATCTATCTGTTCATGTGAGTATTACTCCTGTATTATAAGGCCTTCTTTTTCATTGAAAGTATCCTGTAGTAAGGAACAAAATAGGCTGTCAAATGAATTGCAGAACCATTTGTAGCCAAAGAGGATTCAAATGGATATAAAAAAGCCCTGAAATGTGATTACTGTTGAAAGAATAAGAACTACCTCTAAATTACAATGGCCGTGGATTGTCTATATGGAATTTTAGTGTACTCTAACTCACGGTATGTGGGGTAAATTCATGAAATGTTAATAGGGGCCAGGGAGAAAGTTAATGGGCAATTTAAAAATGTCCTGTTTATTTATTTTTGCATTTTCCATAAGTAATTTCAATCAGAATATAAACAAGAAAAAAAAACTTTAAAAATTCTCTGTACCAAATGGCAAAGCTTTCTCTTAATATATCTTTTCAGAACTGTATGTTACCATGGCTCTGAAAATAATTCCTGGTTTGTTCAAAATATTCCTTTTTCCAAATGATCTCAAAATAAGTTCTGAAAGGATAAACCTTTCAAATGAACTTTTTCAAGAAAGCTGAACTTGGAGTTCTGCGATATTTTTGCCTTTATTAATATCCACAAAGAAATTGCAAGACAATAGGCACTCACATCTAAATAGGAGGATGTGAATGCATAGAGGATGATTAGCTTTAACAGTGTGAAGGGAGAAACAAACTCCAAACATGTAAAGAATAAAAATACTGTACTGATTCAAATTGTAAATATGCCACTTTGATTTTTCTTTTATCTACTTTTATGTTTCAAATTCACTCCCACCTTAATGCAGTTTTAGATTTACAGATCTTCCTATTATTTTATATTATCATCACTTGATTCCTGCCTTCTTTACATTGTGTTCTTTCTTAATGTTTTATTTTGAGCTGTTTCTACTTATTTCCTTAGTCATTTTATTATTGTCTTGATTTCTGAACTCACATACCTTAAAGCAAGTGATCCTCCAACTGGTTTGGAGTTTTATCCCACATGTGTCTGAAGGATACTGACTAATGCTTAGTGATGCAGAGCAAATTAGCAACATCTTTACACCTAGAGGGTTAGCAATGCTCACGAGTGCCACTGGTTATTACTGGAAGGCCTAAGGTAAAGGCAGAGGAGAAGAAAATAGGGAGTATCAAGGGAGCAGGGAGAAAGGAACAAGAGTAAATGAAGACAGGGGTAGAGAGAAGGAGGTACTCAAAGGAGAGTGGCAGAGAGCCACAACAATTCGCCTCAAGGATATTCTTTACCAAAACACTGCCTGAAGGTGGTATTTATAACATAAAAGAAACTAATGAATACAGTTACCTTTAAAGAAATGAAAATCACCTTAATTACTAAATATGGTAAAAGTAACTTTTAGGTTTGTAGAGTTTACCTTCCTGAATTACAGACAAAGGTGAGGAGGTATAAACAGGAAAATCTGGCATAGTTGTAAGACCACGCCACTTGTCTACAGGAGACTTTTGCTTCTTTAATTATGATGTTCATATGGTACACACAGACATACTAACCATTCCTATTTTGAGATTTAACCATCAACATGATGGTTATCTCTTATGTCTCTCTTAGATGTTACCTATCTTGAAGAACTAGCATCCCTTGGCAAGAAAGAAACAATGTGAATCAGCTGCATGGTAGATAATGTCTTGGACTGTTTACAATCTGAGATGCCATTTTACATTTTTTTTTGGGTGAAATAACAACAACAACAACAAAGAAAACAAAACAACAACTCTAAAACAAAAGCATAAATAGGATACTAAATGGTAATTTTACATAAAAATTTTTTGATTGGTTGTACAGTGTCAGAAAAGTTCATAGGGGCTTTGCTCTCTTGGCAACAAGAAAAGCTAACAGCAACCTTTTTTTTTTTTTTTTAAATTGAGCTGCTGCTAGCTCATATAAAAATCATAGAACAATATTCTTTTTGGGAATAATTCTGTCTCTATTTCCTCACTCTCCCATTTTATATTAAAAAGACTATGAAAAACAGATTTCTTTGTCACTGGTGTTTCATCTGCTGTAGCTGTTTGCTCTACTCTGGAAGTAAGAATTCTTTGTCATTTTATAGTAATCTTGTATGGCTACAAATTATTAGATCAAAACAGAATTTACTTTTTAGATGGGCAATAAGAAACTATTTCAAGACAACGGTGTTGGAAAAGAAAAAAACCAGAATCTAGAAGAGCCAGTGAAGCTATCACAAGAATAGAATAATTTTCTGTCTGGACAATATTTATTCTAATCAACACTGTAGAAGAAATCAACTTGAAAGAAAAAACCATAGGAGCCTTTGGGAATTTGGTATTTATATTCTGGCTTTGACAATTTCAGAAGTATTCTAATCTAGTGAGATCAAGCTGAATGAGGTGATTCCAAGATAATCATCATGAGAAAGAATACACTAGTGGAAGTGAAAAAAAAAACAACAACATAAGCTCAATCTCTCTAACATTTTATTTATACAGAAAATGAGAGTACCAATTCAAAAGTTTTTCCTTTTTCAGAGATGGTTTAAGAAAATGTGTTTATAATACTAATAATAGTGATAATAATAGTTACTATCATTAAATATTTTAAACAACAATTATCAAGTGTTCTTCTTTTTTTTTTTTAATGTGTGCCGGGTACTTTACTAAGGCTTTCTACAACCTCATCTAATCGTTACAACAACCTGCTGGAGTAAGTATTGTTGTAATTATCATAATTTTAAAGATGAGAAAATGGAGGCTCAAAAATTTAAGTGATTTGCTCAAAGTTACAGATGGAACTGATACTAAAACACTTATCACTAGAACTTTGCTCAAAGCCTGTAGCCTTAATCATTTGCTATGCTGTTTCCAACATAAAAAGATAACTACTAAGAGATGATGATGGCACACAGGGGAGATTAAGGATGTATTTAATTATAAGAAAAAGAAAATTACAGGTTGATCATCCCTTATATGAAATGCTTGGGACCAGAAGTATTTTGGATCTTGATGTTTTTCAAATTTTGGAATATCTGCGTATACATAGTAAGGTACCTTGAGGATGAGACCCAAGTCTAAACACAAATTAATTTATGTTTCATATATATCCCATACACATAGCCAAAAGGTGGGTAATTTTATACAATGTTTTAACTTATTTTTCTAAACAAAATTTTGAGTGTGTTTTTACTGTGATGCTTCACATAAGGTCAGATATGAAATTTTCTACTTACTTGTGGTGCCATGTCAACATGCAAAAAATTTCAGATTTTGGAGTACTTCAAGTTCTGGATTTTTGAATTGGGGATGCCCAACCTGTATTTTCATGGCTAAATATAGTTAAAAAAACCAAAACCAAAACCAAGAAAGTGACTTCATAACTGACCATTAAAAAGGAATTGGCATGCTTAACAGCTCTGATAAACTGGACAATTTTTTTTTTTTGAGATGGAATCTCGCTCTGTCGTCTAGGCTGGAGTACAGTGATGTCATCTTGGCTCACTGCAACATCTGCCTCCCAGGTTCAAGCGATTCTCCTGCCTCAGCTTCCCAAGTAGCTGGGACTACAGGCACATGCCACCATGCCTGGCTAATTTTTGTATTTTTAGTAGAGATGGGGTTTCACCGCATTGGTCAGACTGGTTTTGAACTCCTGACCTTATGTTCCGCCCATTTGGCCTCCCAAAGTGTTAGGATTACAGGCGTGAGCCACTGTGCCTGGCCAAAAATGTTATTTTAAACATGTTTCTTCAATGATATCAACCGTGAATTAATAACCAATAACATAGTAACAATGTATCATAGTTTGAAAATCCCTAAGAGTAGATTTTTAAGTCTCACCACAAAAATAAGTATGTGAGGTAAAGTATGTGTTAATTAGCTCAACTGAGCCATTATACAATGTATACTACATATTTTAAAACATCATGTTGTACATGGAACAACAAAAACAAAACCAAGAAAATCAACAACAGTTTCGGAGCGATTCAGTTGAATTTTCATTTTGGGTTCTTAGATTGGAATTTAGGCAGAAACATGCTATTGAGTATTTGCTTTTAAATACTAGTGAGCTGTTGGGGCTCCAGAACTTTGAAATATGGCATCTTCCAAAGAATTAGAGGTTTCCCTCATTTCTGCTTTTCATGAAGCCCTTTACTGATGTTTGAGTTGAAAGCAGACCAGACCACCTCAACTTTATCCTCGTGTTGGGAATCTACTCTTTTTTCTTAGACCATATAGATGTTTTCAACTAGAAAGCATTTGGAAAACTTCCAGATCAGGAATGTATGCTGTCTGGCATGTGTAGGAACTGAAAGAATAAATTGAAGTACAGTGTTTTTATTTTATTCCTATATGTATATTTGTAAGCAAGAATTTCAGTAACACAAAGGATAAACACTTAATGTGATGGATTCCAAATTTAACCTGATATGATTATTATGCATTGTATGCCTGTATCTAAATATTTCATGCATCCCCATAAATATATATACCATATATCCACAAATATTAAAATAAAAAATTTAAAAAAGTTTTTATATAACTTTTCTTTAACTGAAAAGTTTTAATCAAGGTTGTACCAGAAAATATACAGGTGCAGATTAACATGGTTATCTGTGAATAAAGTTATTCTGACAACCATGGGAAAACAAATCTAACTGTTGCTGGGTGCTTGGGCTGTGCCACAAATCTGAAAAAAAAAAAAAAAAAAAAATACTGTTAGTCTGGTTATGTTTAAGAAGACCAAAATATTTACCTCGGACAGCATAGCCATCTTTTACTGATGCTGGGAAGGGGGGTAAATTGTCTTTTGCATATACATCTTGAGCAAGGACTCGCCCCATTCCATCTGAAGGAAGAGAAAAGAAAGAAAATGTAAATATTGAGAGCAATATGGTAAGCAGGCAGTCATAAACAAGATGGGCGTGAGTGCTTGTCTGACACAGCTTGTAAATGGACTCAATCAGACCTCCTGATTTCTGTCCCAAGAAATAGGAGACAGAAAGAAGAGACACATTCTGGTGCCTGAAATAAAAGATTACATCCAATCAATTCACAGCAAGTGCTTGCAGAGATTATCTGAATATGAGGTGCTATACAGTAATCAAAGATGTGTTCAGTTAATATGTCACTAATCCTTTAACAACCCAAAGAAAAGCCAGCTTTAAACATTTTCATACCCATTGATCTAATAGTTTTACTTCTACAAATCTATCCTAGGAAAATGGATAAATGTTTCTGTACATGTTTATTTCAGAGTTGCATACAGCAATAGAAAAAATGGAAAGAAAACAAACTATCAACAATAGAGGTATTTAAATAAAAATTATATATTCTTAAGATGAAATATTATGCAGGCTAAAGTAATATTTATAAAGATATTATAATATTCATTGACAGAGAATTCCTATGATATATATTTTTACAACATGTAAAGTCAAACATGCAGTATATAGTCTTAGCTATATTAAAATATATCTGTACATATCAATAGAAAAAGAAGAAAAAACCATACATGAAAATATAAAGCATTTATTACTTAAGAATGTTAGATTTAAAATTTTTATTCCCTTTGCTCTACTTTCCAAAAATGTCTATGTTTTCTACAATTAATGCATCATTTTTTAATCCTAAAGTTTTTTTTCTTAAGAAGAGAAAGGTTAAAAAAAAAAAAAGGAACCATGAGAAACCACCCTCATGCTCCAGTAACCTCCCACCAGGCCCCACTTCCAGCACTGGGAGTTACATTTCAACATGAGATTTCGAGGAGGGGGGCACAGATCCAAATCAGCTAGCAACTATTTGCAAAATTGATGCGTAAGAGTTCTCATGTTGGTGTGTGTGGTTCCTCAAGCTTTGGAAAAGAACTGCACTTTTTATTTCCTTTCTGTCTACTCAAAGCAACAAATACAGATCTTACTCAAAATGTGTTTTTCTATCCTGGACTTCCAGAGCAGTCTTTACTTTTATTTAAATTCAATTCTTCTTAAAAAGCAAGGGCAGACTGAAAAGAAGTGAAAACAAATGCCACACAAAAACTTGAGCATAATTATTTTTAACAGCATTTTTCATAATAGCCAAAAGATGGAAACTGAAATATCCATCACCTGAAGAATGAACAAACTGAAGCATATCTATAAAATGAAAGATTACATAGCCATAAAAAGAAATGATATATTTATGAAAACTACTAAACATTGCTGAAAGAAATAACAGAGACAAGTAAATGGAAAGACAGCCTATATTCATATTGTTAATGTCCACACTACCCAAAGCAATCTACAAATTCAGTCCAATCCCTGTCAAAATCTCAAGGACATTGTTTATAAAAATAGAAAAGCTCACCCCAAAATTCATATGGAATCTCAAGGGACTCCAAATAGCTAAAACAATTGTGGAAAAGAATGAAGTTGGAGGAATCATATTTCCTGATTTCAAAACATATTATGAAGCCATAGTATTAAAAACAGTATGGTATTGGCATACACAGATATACAGATAATGGAATAGAATAGAGAACTTAGAAATAAACCCTTATGTGTACAGTCAAATGGTCTTTGATAAGGGTGCAAAGACTACTTAATGGGAAAAAGACAGTCTCTTCAACAAATGTTGCTGGAAAATCAGGTACCCAAATACAAATGAATAAACTTGGACCCTTACAATTACACTATATACCTCTACAAGGAAAACTACAAAACACTACTGAAATAAATAACAGAACACAGACAAATGGAAATACATCCCATGCTCATGGATTGGTAGAATCAATATTGTGAAAATGACCACACTGCCAAAAGAAATCTACAAATTCAATGTAATTTGCATAAAAATACTACCATCATTCTTCACAGAACTAGAAAAGACAATCCTAAAGTTGATATGAAACTAAAAATGAGCCCACATAGCCAAAGGAAGACTAAGCAAAAAGAACAAATCTGGAGGCATCATACTATATAGTTTGACTTCCAACTATACTATAAGGCCACAGTCACTAAAACAACATGGTACTGGTATAAAAATAGACACACAGACCAATGGAAGAGAATAGAGAATGGAGAAATCAACCCAAATACTTAAAACCAACTGATCTTTGACAAAACAAACTAAAACATAAAGTGGGGAAAGGACACCCTATTCAACAAATAGTGTTGGGATAATTTGTAAGCCACATGTAGAAGAATGAAACTGGATCCTCATCTCTCACCTTACACAAAAATCAACTCAAGATGAATCAAGGACTTAAGTGTAAGAACTGAAACTATAAAAATTCTAGAAGATAACATTGGAAAAACCCTTCTAGACATTGGCTTAGGCAAAGACTTCATGACCAAGAACTCAAAAGCAAATGCAACAAAAACATTGATAAATAAGTGGGACTTAATTAATCTAAAAAGTTTCTGCACAGCAAGAAACGATCAGCAGAGTAAACAGACAACCCATAGAGTGGGAGAAAATCTTCACAATTTACACAACTGACTAAGGACTAATATCCAGAATCTACAAGGAACTCAAGCAAATTAGCAAGAAAAAAAATCCCATCAAAAAAATGGGCTAAGGACATGAATAGACAAGTCTCAAAAGAAAATATACAAACGGCCAACAAACATGAAAAAATCCTCAACATCACCAATGATCAGGGATATGCAAATCAAAACCGCAATGTCATACCACCTTACTCTTGCAAGAATGGCCATAATCAAAAAATCAAAAAATAATAGATGTTGGTGGGGATGTGGTGAAAAGGGAACACTTTTACACTACTGGTGGGAATGTAAACCCGTACAACCATTATGGAATACAATGTGGAGGTTCCTTAAAGAACTAAAAGTAGAACTACTGTTTGATCCAGCAATCCCACTACTGGGTGTCTACACAGAGGAAAAGAAGTCACCGTACACGAAAGATACTTGCACATGCATGTTTACAGTGGCACAATTTGCGATTGCAAATATATTGCAAAAATATGGGCACCACCAGCCCAAATGCCCACCAATCAATGATTAGATAAAGAAATTGTGGCATATATACCATGGAATACTACTCAGCCATAAAAGGAACAAAATAATGGCATTTGCAGCAACCTGGATGGAACTGGAGGCCATTATTTTAAGTTAAGTAACTCAGGAATGGAAAACAAAACATTGTATGTTCTCACTTATAAGTGGGAGCTAAGCCATGAAGAGGCAAAGGCATAAAAATGATACAATGGACTTTGGGGGCTTGGAGGGAAAGGGTCGGAGGGGGTGAGGGATTAAAAAAATCCAAATTGAGTACAGTGTATACTACTTGGGCTATGGGTGCACCAAAATCTCACAAATCACCACTAAAGAACTTAATCATATAACCAAATACCACCTGTTCCCTAATAACCTGTGAAAATAAATAAATAAATAAATAAAAATAATAATACATAAAGAGCTCTTACAACTCAACAAAAATCAAATCACATGAATTTAAAATTAAAAAAAGACTTGAAGTCATTTCCCCAGATGCTATATAAATAGCCAACAAGAATATAAAAAGGTGCTCAACATCAATAATTGTCAGAAAAATGAAAGTGAAAATCACAATGAGAACATCACCTTACACTCATTAGGATAGCTACCATCAAAAAACCCAGAAAAGTTTTGATATAAATAAGGGAAACTGAAACCCTTGCACACTGCTGGTGGGGTTATAAAATGGTGTATCCACTTGTAAAATAGTATGAAAATTCCTTAAAAAATTAAAAACAGAACTACCACACGATTTCAGCAACCCCACTTCTGGATATGTATTCAAAAGAATTAAATGGGCCGGGAGCGGTGGCTCAAGCCTATAATCCCAGCACTTTGGGAGGCCGAGGTGGGTGGATCACAAGGTCAAGAAATCGAGACCATCCTGGTCAACATGGTGAAACCCCATCTCTACTAAAAATACAAAAAATTAGGTGGGCATGGTGGCACGTGCCTGTAATACCAGCTACTCAGGACTGAGGTGGGAGAATTGCTTGAACCCAGGAGGTGGAGGTTGTGGTGAGCAGAGATCACGCCATTGCCCTCCAGCCTGGGTAACAAGAGCGAAACTCTGTCTCAAAAAAAAAAAAGAATTAAATGCAGGTCTTGAAGAGATATTTGCACACCCATGTTCATAGAAACCATATTCACAATAGACAGGAGGTGGAAGCAACTCAAATCTTCAATAGATGAATGAATAAACAATTAAAGTAGTCAAATTAGTAGAAATAAAGTAGAATGATAGTCATCAGGTGCTAGAGGGAGGTCTAAAAGAAGAGTTATTTAATAGATTTAGAGTTTTGAATTTGCAAGTTGAAAAAATTCCGAAGATCTGTTTCACAAAAATATGAATATACTTAATATTACTGAACTTAAAAACAGTTAGGATGATACATTTTGTTGTTGTGTTTTTACCACCACAACAAAATAGGAATGAATTACTGATACATGCGATAACATGGATGAATCTTGAAAATATTAAGCTAAGTGGAAGATGCCAGTTACAAAAGACCATGTATTATATGATTCTACTTATATCTAACATCCAAATAGGCAAATGTATAGAAACAAAGTAGACTAGTGGTTTATTTAGGGCTGGATGTGGAGATGACGGGATAGGCGGATGATTGCTAAAAGTGATAGGCGTTCTTTTTGAGTTAATGAAAATGCTCTAAAACTGTAGTGATGGCTACACATCTGAATATTCCCAAAGCAATAAATACTTTGAATTGTATAATATATGAATTATATCTTGACACAGTTTTTTCTAAAGGCAAGTACAAAAGTTTATATATATATATATATATATTTTTTTTTTTTAATTGCACTTTAGGTTCTAGGGTACATGTGC